GAGCGTGAAAGTCTTGAACACCCAACTTGGAAGAGAGAAACTCAAACTGTGAACGCCCCAGAGCTTTAGTGAGTATGTCAGCTATTTGGTCTTTAGTACGAACATGTGTAGTAGAAATCAGACGAGCTTTAACCGCATCACGGACACAATGACAATCTCTCTCAATATGCTTTGTGCGTTCGTGAAAAACTGGATTTGCTGCAATATGAATTGCTGCCTTACTATCACAGTAGAAAGGTACTGGTTTGGCAACTGGAATGCCAAGTTCTTTCATTAAAGGGACTATCCATTTTAGCTCCTTAGTTGCTGCAGCCATTGCGCGGTATTCTGCTTCAGCGGAAGAGTGTGAAACTGTTTTCTGCTTCTTAGTTTTCCAAGATATCGGATTCCCTCCAAGCAGCACAACATAAGAGCTTAAAGACCGACGAGTAAGAGGACAAGCACTCCAGTCTGCATCCACATAAACTGAAAGCTGAAGAGAACTGCCTGAGCTCAACAAAATACCTTGTCCTGGACACCCTTTCAGAAATCTGACTACACGGAGAGCAGCTTCCCAATGAACAACTCGTGGGGACTTCATGAACTGAGATAACAAGTGAATCGCATAACACAGTTCTGGACGCGTAATAGATAAGTACACAAGACGTCCTACCAGGCGTCTGTACTTCTTTGGGTCTGAAAACAGTGGTCCATTATCAGTGGCTAAATGATGATTCTGCTCAACTGGGATAGATACCGGTTTAGCACCAAGTAAGCCACAGTCCGCAACGATGTCTAATGTATACTTGCGTTGGGAAAGAAAGATCCCCTAATCAGCTCTTGCAACTTCAATACCCAAGAAATATTTTAATTTTCCTAGATCTTTCATACGGAAGCATTCACCAAGGTAGGTCTTGAACTTAGTGAGTAATGCAAGATCATTGCTTGCGATGACCAAATCGTCTACATATACCAGAACACGAACTTCTTTTGCTCCTTTGGTGTATGTAAATAATGAATAATCTGAATGAGCTTGCACAAAACCAAACTTGAGTAGTGCATTTGATAGCTTGGCAAACCAGCAACGTGGGGCTTGCTTCAAGCCATATATAGCTTTACGCAACCTACAGACTTTACGCGGATCAGAGTGAGTAAAGCCAGGAGGTAAGCGCATATAAACTTCTTCATCGAGATCACCGTGGAGGAAAGCATTGTGGACGTCCATTTGATGAGCTTCCCAACCTTTTGCTGCAACAAGACTTAACAAACTCCGCACGGTGGCCATCTTAACAACAGGAGCAAATGTCTCTCCATAATCATCACCTGCAACTTGTCTATTTCCACAGGCTACAAGTCGCGATTTGTGACGTTCAATGGTACCATCTGCATTGTATTTGATGCGATGTACCCACTTTGACGCAATGGCTCGTCTGCCAGGAGGAAGTGTTGCTAACTCCCATGTGCCAAGTTCTTCATGTGCGTTTACTTCAAGTTTCATAGAGTCTCTCCATACTTTATCTTTAATAGCTTCTGAATACGAACGTGGCTCTACGCCAGCAGTAACAGCAGCTAAGTATGCTTGATGAGAAACAGAGAATTTGAGGTCAGACACATAATCATTCAGAGGATAAGGTGTCTTACCTGGATCGTTACGAGACGACGAAGATGCAGAGCAGGGAGGTGAGAGAGATGGGTCTTGAAGAGTAACAGCATTGTACGTGACATAGTCCCTGAGCTTTACCGATGGAACTTTTACTCTTAGACCACGTCCAGATGTTTCACTTGAAACTGGATTATTTATAGCCTCTGTAGCCACTGGAACAACTTCTGAGATATTCTGAGTTGTCGTTGCTGTATCCGGTTGAGTAGTAGAGGGTGATGTCTGATCTTGTATGGTAATAGACGTCTCTGTTTGAGAATTTTCACTAGAGGTTGAAGGTTGGTTACTAACCAAAGAAGTACTCCCCCTGTTTTGAATGGGAAATATTCGTGTAATCTCCCAGTCATCATCTATTATAACTTGTGGAGGTAATTGATTTGTTGCTGGGACTGGTGACTGAGACGCAAACGGAAATTCTGTTTCTTTGAAGACAACATCACGTGAGATAAGAAACTCCTCTGTTTCCAAGTCAAATACTTTACATCCTTTCTGAGTGAAAGGATACCCAACGAATACACATCTTCTACTTCTTGACCCGAATTTATCCTTGGCTCTTGACTTCATATGAACAAAACATAAACTCCCAAAAACTCTAAGATGCTCATACGATGGTTTGACTCCATATAATAACTCATAAGGAGATGCATTGTTGAGTACTGATGATGGTGTTCTATTGATGAGATGAGATGCTGTAAGTATGGCCTCTCCCCCAAAATTTAATAGGCATCTTTCCTTCAAATAGTAATGATCTGGCCACATTAAGTATGTGTCTATGTTTCCTCTCAACCCGTCCGTTTTGTTGTGGAGTAGCTACACACGAGGTTTGATGGATGATACCTTTTTCACGAAAAAATCCAGCCAGACACATAAACTCTGTGCCGTTGTCACTGCGAACTGTCTTAACTTCTCTATTAAACTGTTTCAACGCCATAACACAGAAGTTTTGAAGCACTGTTTTCACTTCTGATTTCTCAAGTAGCAAATAGGTCCAAACTGTTCTTGAGAAATCATCCACAATAGTTAAAAAATACCGTGCTCCACAGGAGGATTGTACTCTATAAGGACCCCAAACGTCACAGTGAATCATCTCAAAACACTCATTTGTTTTATTCAAACTTTGATAAAAAACTTCTCTTGTTTGTTTTGCTCGAAAACATGTGTCACAAGGACTGTGAGCTAACGACTTATTAGTAGAAAACGACAAAGGTAATAAACTCAACACTGAAAAAGCCGGATGCCCTAGCCTCTGGTGCCAACGATACTGATCAACCTCTTTAACAGTCTTTTCAGCAACATGAACTCTAGCAGCCATGACATCCTTGAAATAATAAACCCCATNTGAAACGATCCTGTAAAATACACAGTGTATCAGTTAGTAATGCAAAGCAATTTGTTTGACGTAAAAGCTTGGACACTGATATGAGAGAGCAGTTGAGATTTGGAACAAATAACACTTTAGACAGTGTTATGTTCTTGGAGAGATGGAATACGCCAACATGTGTAGCAAACGTCTTGTTTCCATCTGCAAATCCCACTGGACACGGGGCAATACTAGAAACATTGGTAAGAAACGAGAGCTCTCCAGTCATATGGTGAGATGCCCCCGTGTCTAGAATGAGATCTCCATATGGCTTACCGGACAACTTATCGGAAGATGACTTGGTTCTCTCATTTAATAACTGCGTAAGAGCTTTTAGTTGCTCCTCTGTGAACATTGGAAAAGTAGAATCATTAGAGGTAGTTGCGTGAGCATTGTGAGCTTTAGGCCCACTGTTTCTTCCTCGATCAGAAGATGAAGAACCACGCCCTCTGTTGTTTGGAGCACCTCTGTTCTCTTGTTTACTTGAGCGCTCTTCCCACCAATCCGGAAACCCAACTAGTTGCCAGCAATTAGCCTTATCATGTCCCTTACGACTGCAATGAGAACATTGTAAAGATCGTCGCGCAGATAAGTCAACTTGATCTTTCTTTGCAACGAAGCCAACTGCACTTTGCTGAACTTCTCTTTCCTTGGACGAAGCAAGTCTTTGTTCTTCTCTAATGACTTTAGCATACGCTTCTCCAAGATCAACTAAGGAATCACTCGATATAATTCCTTGACAAACTCCCCCAAACCGAGATTCATCAAGTCCCATGACGAACTGATGCACTTTCTCTTCATCTCTTTCTTTCTCATATTCTGCAGAAGCACTGCAACTGCAAGCTGGAAGAGGCTTATACATGTCTAGCTCCTCCCACATCTTTGCTAAACGTCCATAGTACTCCATCACTGATTGACCACCTTGTTTGCAAGAAGCCAGTTGTTCTTTCAGATGATGAACTCTAACTTTGTTTCCCACTGAGAAACGCTTCTTCAAATTTTCCCAAAGTTTATGGGAATCAGACATAAACGTGACTGTTGACCGAACCTTTGCCTCTATAGAAGAACGGATCCAGCCTACAATCATGGAATTAACCGAAGACCAGAGCTCAAATTTCGGATCATCAATGGAGGGTTTAGGTATTGTTCCATCGATAAACCCTAATTTTCTTTTAGCTCTCAAAGCGTTGGTTAACTCCATAGACCACTCATTATAATTCTCTCCGGTAAACACGACCGAAGTGATTAACGCACCGGGATTGTCTGAGGCATACAACGAGTATGGAGTTGCACTCACGGTGGTTACATTACTTTGATCAACTAGATCACTGCTCTTACTTGCAGAAGACTCTTCTCCACCAGCCATCGAACTTGATGTGCTAATATACTAAAAAAAAATATTTAGGTCTCAAGAAGGTTATTGCTCTGATACCATGTAAAGTAGAGATTGAACAATAAACTTTTAACTTGTATTGCTTGAACGTATTACATCAGCTTATATACACGAGTAACCACCGACTATAATCTCCTACTTCTACTCGTATTTATCTCTAAGATATAAGTAAACATTAACATAATAAGACTTATCAATAGGTAATCCTTATCACAATAGGATTCCCTAATAAATAGACAAGAAGTGTAAGAAAAGGTGTTCACTATTAAATGTGAATACAGCCCACGTGTGTCTCTCAATGACTCTGAACTTAAGACATTGGAGAGGAAGAGACAAAAAGAGGGAAAGCGTTTAACTTGAGAAAGTGAGGAAGAATCAAAGCAAGTTTGTTACTGAATGAGTCTAACTTGAGACAGTGGAGAGGAAAATACAAGAAGAGAGAATGAGTCTAACTTCGAGTAAAAAATCAAAGCCAGTTTGTTACTGAATGAGTCTACACAACATTAACATCAAGTTTCTCTCTCTCTCTCTCTCTCTCTCTCTCTAACTCTGCGTATAAATAGAAGAAGTGAGAGGAAGAAACAGAACATCAACAAACAAAAAAAGCGATGGTGTGCGATAGTCATGGAAATCTAAGCGATGCAGAGTTCAGCAAACCCTTACCTTGGATAGGTGTCTACGTATCTGCAGCTTCACTCATCTGCGGAGCCGCCATGTTCACCGATCTCCTCCGCGGCTTCCGCAACCGCAGGTTCTGGTTCCCATGCAAATCCTTCTCACTCAACGCCACCACACTCACCTTCCTCGCCGTCTGCGTCAAACTCTCAGTAGATCTCAACACTTGCATGCCTAGTCGCCAAGACCAGCTCTCCAAACTCAGCAGCAACGTCTTCGTCTGCACCGTGATGGCCAACTCCATGCCTTCTTTGGGGTTTATGGTCACTCAAGACCTCCTCATGAACCTCGTTGCTCTCGGGATTCTCGTCGTCACCGACGTTGTCAACATCTGTATCCAGCTCGGGACAGGTGCTATCTATGTGTTCCCTCAAGAACACGCGTTCGTTATCGTTCTCACGCTTCTAATGTTCGTGATCTTGAGCTTCTCTGCTATTACAGTCCCAACCACCAAACGTTTCTTGGAGATCAAGTACAAGAAGAGTTACGAGTTGGCTTTGAAGCAGTGTCCTTTGTATCAGACAGAGAGAAGAGGAGGATTCTCTGAGCTTAAAGAAGATCTCATGAAGTTTTGGATGATGGCTCATACTTCTAGTCCTCAGTTTGTTATGGCTCGTTCTGTCACCTGCACCACCTCTGGTTTTCTCTGTTTCTTGAGCGCAGTTACTTTGGCTGAAGCCATGCTCCGCTCTTACATCTTACATCCAAACTCTATTGGGTTCTGTAGTGGAGACTCTGATTACAAATGGTCCACCACTTTGGTTTTAATCTCCCAGGCGGCTTCAGTGGCCGTAGGGACGGTTGCTCCAGCGAGCAGATGGTTTACTGCAGTGAACTTACGGTGTTCATCAGGAGCAAACAAATCTTTGAGGGATGAGTTGAGAGTAGAGAGTTATTGGGTGGAGTGCCTCTCAGTGAAGAAAGAACATCCCTTGAACTTTTGGATGCTACTCCATGGTCGCCGCAGTAGGAAGCTTGCACACGACGTGAACAGATACATACTTGATCTCTGCATTGCAGTACAGTATGGTATAGTGTTTGCTAGCAAGTTCCTCCGGTTCATCGCGGTCTACTGTGTGAGTAGGATCTTCAAAACAAACCCTGACTCGTCCTCTGGATCAAATTCAACAAGAGAATACGTTCTGCATCTTGAAGGAGAGGAGGAGCTGGTGGATTACATGGCAAGAAGCAACCGTGAGGCCACAAACCACTTGATACAAAAGGGTCGGAAGAAACAACCCTTAAACTTGATAGAGCTCTTGGAGGCAACAGATCCCATCTCAAAAGGATTTGAAGGGATTCGAGATTTCGACAGCGACCAGGTGGCTTCTCTGGTGGCCTCTGGAGAGCCATCTAATTGTTGGGCTCTTCCTTTAGTAACACTTACGAGTATAGCTGCTTCACTTCCAAATATTCAGCCTTGCTTGCTGAAGAAGTTAGTGAAGGCTGTAAACGAGGCGTTGGTCTATGTCAAGAAGTTTGAAGACGTCTTAGACATTGAAGGAGAGTTAGCCAACAGCAGGAAAGCTGCTGAAGTAGTTTGGTTAGGAGTTGATCTCTACCATAAGTGGCTCAACGTGGATCTACAAAAACTATCCAAGCAAACAAAAACACCACAAGAAGTTCTTAAAGAGCTAGTGGATATAGCAAAGAAAGAGTTCAGCGAGTCGTGGGAGAAGAACATGATGCTGAAGCCCTCGCGCTGGCCCATCAAGACTCTAGCAGCAAACTCTATGTACAGAATCAGCCAAACCCTTTTGAAGAAATACGAATCAAGAAACACTGGAACAGAGGATACTCTGTTTAAAGAGGTGGAGAGGATGGTATCGGACATAGTAGCAGGATGCTTTTGCAACACGGCAAGAGTGGTGGGGATGCAGTGTTTGGTAACGGCGGTGGAGGTGAGGGAAGCTTCAGTGAGAGAAGCGGCAATGCATCTGGGGAGAACAGAGAAGATACTTGAGATCGTGGACAGGAGATGCATGCCTTCTTTGTCTCATCACAAAGTGGCTAAGATTGATGGATGGAGAGAATTTTATAAGACCAGTAAATGCATCTCTTCCACTACTCATCCTTCGACTCAGTGTACCACTCGTCAACTCATTCTCACCATTGAGTAACTAACTACACTTAGGACACTAAGATAATAAGGGCATCTCCAACCCAACTCCATTTTTTACTTCAAAATGGAGTAAAAGTGATTATGGAGTAAGAAATGCTCCAACCCCACTTCATTTCTTACTCCATAATGAGATTACTCCATAAATGGAGTAATCTATTTTTTGTTTGTTCACTACTCCATTATGGAGTTACAAATAGAGTGGGGTTGGAGCATTTTTACTCCATAATCACTTTTACTCCATTTTGGAGCCCAAAAAATAGAGTTTTACATTGGAGATGCTCTAATAACTGTTTTGCACACTTGAACATGGCAGTAATAAAGCTTTATTTGTCGGTTTATGTACAATAACAACTAGCACTAGGAATCCTTAAAACTTGTTCTACTGAATCTTTAACCTCAGTAATCCCTTATATATTAAAGGAGAAACATTTAAAAAATTGTAACCTCAATTTTGTAATAATTAAAAAAGACCTCATGCTTAGGTGTTACTCAATTAGATAGTCAATTAAATTCAATTGAAAAATAAGTAAGTCCACATTCGTTTTTTATATGTCGCTAGATACATGCTTAGGTGTCACCCATGCTTAATGATTCTAATAATAAATATTTGATAACAGTTTATATATCCTCCATCATTTTTCTTTAATTTTATATTATTAAAATAAATGAAACAATCAAATTAGTTATAAAATTAAACTTTAGATTTTTCGTATAGGTTATATTTTGAAATTATTATGTTAAAATTAATGATCAATAGTTATCTCAAACTAAATAATTATGTTTTTATATAAAACTGAATAAACTGAAAACCGATGGTATATAAACCAAATCAAATTAGATATAAAATTAAACTTTAGATTTTTTCGTATAGGTTATATTTTGAATTTTAAAAAACGAGAATAAATAACTAAACTATTAAAATTATTATGTTAAAAATTAATGATCAATAGTTTAGCATTTTTATTATAGAAAGATATACATGATTTTAAAACCATAAAGGTAAAAAGTATCATTCAATAATAAAACAAATATATATATATATATATATATACAGATTAAACTATATACCATATAAGATTACAAAAATATTTTAATTTCAAAAATTTTGAATAAATTTTCAAGAACATTTATAAATTATAAACTTATTAAATTTTTCACATTGAAAATTTTTGTTATCAATGATTTAAATATCTCAGTTCTTTTTTTAATTTTATATTTTTAAAAGATATTAACAATCGATAATATGGTTATTTTTGGTATATACCATACAAACCGAATGGATGTGATTTTATAAAAACCATAGGATTTGGATATGGTTTTCTTTATAATCGATTAAACTGAAACATGTAAATATGTATATATTTATAACGACGCATGAATATCTATTTGTTACATGAGCTGAACTATAATTATAATTTGTAAATAGCTAACAATTTATTACAACTGAGACTTCTTATTTTGATCTTTTGCTTTTTTAACAGTAACTAATTTGAAGTAAAGATTATAAATTTGATGGACAACAATTAGTTGAAATTATTTACAACTTTTTTTTTAATCTTTAAACAAACAGAGTTGTGTTCAGTCGAAGACATATTGGTTTGATGAACACTAAATATGGAAGAATATAAAAACTTTTCTTTCATGCTTTTGTTTTGTTTTTTATTTTTATTTTCAAAATTTAGTGTTTGATATTAATTCTAGATTTGATCATTTTATTAGATAATAGAAGCCTTTTTGTTTTTTATTCTTTTATTTAAATATATAATATTTTTTTAATAAATAACTATGTGACAATATGACTCTAAATATGATCATATTATATATTTGTATAATATATAATATGATCACAAACTAAATAATTATGTTTTTTGGTATAAAATTGAATAAACTGAAAACCGATGGTACATAAACCAAATCAAAATGAAGTACATATAGATTTAGAATAGTAATTATATTTTAATGATCGAAATACCAAAAATCGAGCCGAACCGAAACCCCATATCCGGATTAAACACCTCTAATCCGAATGAAACCGAACTACTGTTTCATTTTTCAAAACATAATAAAAATAATAGCTTCATCCCGCGCAAGGCGCGGGTCTTATCCTAGTAGATATTATAATGATACACTTTCAAGACTCCTAAGCCTATCTACCTTAGCAAGTTTGCGGACCCCGCGCGTGTTATTAGGGAAAACAAAAACGTATAACATTTTGTAAGATTAAATGTTATTGATGAGAGATGAAATGGCTCAGTGGTGTAAATTGGTGACGAGAAGTTGTTACCGCGAGTGTGCGGGTTCGAAACGCAGTGTTTGCATGTAATTTTTTTTTTTAATTTGGGCTTTTCGGGATACCTAAAAGTTTGGGGAGATTCAGAATGATTTTTTATGCTTCTATATTATAATGATACACTTTCAAGACTCCTAAGCCTATCCACCTCAGCAAGTTTGCGGACCCCGCGCGTGTTATTAGGGAAAACAAAAACGTATAACATTTTGTAAGATTAAATGTTATTGATGAGAGATGAAATGGCCCAGTGGTGTAAATTGGTGACGAGAAGTTGTTACCGCGAGTGTGCGGGTTCGAAACGCAGTGTTTGCATGTAATTTTTTTTTTTAATTTGGGCTTTTCGGGATACCTAAAAGTTTGGGGAGATTCAGAATGATTTTTTATGCTTCTAAATTATAATGATACACTTTCAAGACTCCTAAGCCTATCCACCTCAGCAAGTTTGCGGACCCCGCGCGTGTTATTAGGGAAAACAAAAACGTATAACATTTTGTAAGATTAAATGTTATTGATGAGTGATGAAATGGCCCAGTGGTGTAAATTGGTGACGAGAAGTTGGTACCGCGAGTGTGCGGGTTCGAAACGCAGTGTTTGCATGTAATTTTTTTTTTTTAATTTGGGCTTTTCGGGATACCTAAAAGTTTGGGAAGATTCAGGAATGATTTTTTATGCTGATTGTTGGGATACAAAACGGCTTAAAGATTTGAAACTTTATGAGACCATCTACTTTTATAAGAAAGGTTATCATGTTCTAACCTCCAATATCATTTCAATTCAGTTATAATCGTCAAATAAAATAAAAACATATTTTCAATAATAAATATTTACTCCGAACCATTCAGATCGGCCATAAATCTCATATACATCACAATTAAGAAAAAAAATAATATATATATATATACAACATAATTTCAGAAAGAAAATTACACTAATAAACACATGTCCTTTTTTGTCTTCTCTCCATTAAATTATTTTTTTATATGAAAGTACTAATAACAATAATGTTCGATAAAATCACTAATAAAGGGAATGCTCCATAAAATCATTACGAAGATAAAATATGAAAATATCAACCCATATGAATTCGATGTTTATTCTTTTATCAGACTAATCAAGTTGTGTGACTTCTAATGTTTCATTCATCACCATTATAGATAAGCCAGATAAACAAATGTTAAAAAAAAAAACAGCAAAATCTCATACACAAAACTACACAACACATCAACAACGTATACGACCCCCGCGCTTACGCGGAGACTATGCATCTAGTGAATACTAGTAAGTTTCTTTTCTTCTTCTGTATCCAAGAGGCAAGAGTTTCCGCAACAAATAGTAATGAACACATTTAAAAGCTGAGAGTAAACCGCAAGTCACCAAACAATATGGGATTTTAGTAGAGTAGTTAGTTGTGCGTCAAACTCGAGAATAAGTTGGAAGAGACATTAAATTCTTAGTATTATGGGAAAATTAGAGACATTATATTGCAATTCATAAAAGCAAATGTATTTTTTGAAATACAATGAAGAAATCTTGGTTTTTGGTGTATGTACTTTTTTTTTGGGCAACGGTTTTGGTAAATACAAAATATTATATTAGATCAAGTTGAATTCTAGCCAAAGATGTCAAGATGGCCGAGTTGGTCTAAGGCGCCCGCTTCAGGTGCGGGTCCGAAAGGGCGTGGGTTCAAATCCCACTCTTGACAATGTTTTTTTTCCTCTGTGTTATTTTTATTTTAATCCTTGTTGATGACCGTACCACACTACTACAGCACTACTGGTGAAAGAATTATTCCATCGAAATTAAATAAGGTAAAATAATAAAAAGAAAAATGCTGAATCAGCGGATGAAGAGTTACACATAAATGGAATATCTAGGCTTGAGGCTCAGCTCTATATGTTGGTTGAATGAGCGAACAAAACTAAGGAACTTTGCCTTAGTGCCAGAATCATACCATGCCAATTTAATTAATGTTTGTAATATGACTCATTCACTTTTGTCTTTTCTCCCCCCTCAGTATTCATTATCTTATCTGGGGACACATCATTCGTTCTTATCCAACAGGTGGGAAGTTAACCTTTCATACCTCATAGTTCTTAAACTCCAACATCTAAAGGAAACCTTTGCCACTCTATGTTTTGAGGTAACGTTATGCTTTGCTTCGTGTGACGGTCTTTGTTTGTTTTGAGTATAGTACAGTTTTCTCAGTGTGTGTGTGTGTGTGTGTGTTTATGATTTCATGGAATATAAAACAAGAAAAGGTAACAAACAAACTAGCTTGGAAAAACATGGTAGAGTTGTGAGGTGGGAAAGAAAATAAATAGGAAAAAGTAGGCAAAAACCAGGAAGCTGCATCAACCATGAAGTCATCTGACTACGGAGTTTCGGTTGGTGAGGAGTAGACGTTTGTACGGCAAGTGGGACAGGAAGGGTTGGAGGAGAACCACTGCTGGATGCAGTGAACGTGGAACCCATGTTTGCATCTATCCAACACCCGGAGGTTGTCACCGTTCTGGAATTCAGACAAGCAAATGATACACTCTGCTTCAGTGCCTGCCAGGTTCAGCCCAGGGGAGTAGACAAGTGCCGGGAAAGCTTCCGTAAGAGAGGTCTCAGGGTCAGGGTCGGGTTTAGGATCATGCTGGAGGACTGGACGGAGGCAACAACGTAAGGCAGCCTGGAGAGAGAGGACGCATATGAGAGATGAGAAAATGATTATGAGAAGAAGAGAGGCGTTGGCAGCAAAGTCATTGGGATGAGAGTAAGGCTTCCAGCTGCAGCTTTGTGACGTACATGTAGAGGAGGTAAGTTGGGGTTGGGGTTCAGATGATAACAGCCGCATTGGAAGTTAGAACTCAGACAAGTTCCTAAAACCATCATGTCTTGTTGTGTGTTTATAGAGAAAGAAGCAAAAGAGAGCATTTAAGGAAGAGGACACACCAGATTGTGGCGTTGGTTTTTATTTGTGAGACGTGGATAGGTCTTGACTCATGAGGGAGGACCACTGAGTTATGAAGATAACCATTTTTTTGTAGACTAGATAAACTCACCATAATGCTTTTCCCTCCTGCCAAGGCAACTCTACAGTTCCCTATTCTCTTAATCTTCAATGCTCTATCTTGTTCTAATTACTTGTCTTTGAATATACTATTATTGTGAATCAAAGATTTGGTACACTCATTTTTATGTATGTGTAGAGTACTCCTACACATACATACTGGTCTACTTACGTGTTCTACTCACATTACAACTCTTAACCAATTCCTCTATTATTTATTACTCTTCCATTTCCTTCTGTATCTATCACATTCAACATCTTCTGTCTTTCTTTTATATCTTCCATTTTCCTCTCATTCAATCAAAAAAGGACAGAGAGAAGAGACAATAGTGGCAGGATTGCGGAAAGAACAGCCTATTGTGTATGTAAGGACTTGTGCTGAACTTTGGGCTCTAAATGTACCAAACACCAACTTCATTCATTCCATATTCTTTTCTGTCCGTATTGAATATGAATTTTAAAAAAGGTTTGAAAATTTAGTGTTATTGAACTTGTCATTTCACAATATTCTTTTAAATCCACTGTTTTGATTTTGTAAGTGGTAGACTTTATAGTGGTTTAAGTGTCTCAACAGAATTTCTTAATTGAAAAAAATAAATTAATCTCATACAAGATTCTAGTGTGGTTTAACAGAAATTGTACCAAATTTTCAAATTCGCCTAAAATCATCTAGAAATTCATTAAAATTAAAACTATTCCAAATCAATTTAAATTTTAGATTAAATACACCCATCCCAAAAAAACAAAATGCTTTAGATACCCAAACAGTGACATGAAAGTATAAAACTCTCTATTTCTTGTGTTTAGTCCATTTGTATTTGTCATTTTACAGCAAAACAAAACAAGGATAAAAAAAAAACAAATATCAAACTAAAACAAAAAGCAAAGAAGCTCAAAATTTGAAAATTTATGGGACTAATAAGTTTCTCTCTAAAAACTCACGCCAAAATCATCTCATCTCCCTAAATGTAGATATGTCAAGCCTCTAAGCTAGCAGCAATTCCTGCAAAAGTAGCATTCATTAGTAATCAATCCATCACGTTGGTTCAATCATCAAGAGCAAAAGGCTATCTTAGTTCTTACCTCTGTGTTGTTCATGTATCCAAAACCGTGCATCCCTCCTTCGCTGGACATTCCCCAATCCAAACTGCTCATATGAACTCCTCCTCTAGACCCTATACCCAATCCATTGCTTCTACCGTAGTTGATACGTCCTTCACCGACTGTTCCCCACTTCTCTCCTACGCTTCCTACTCCATAGTTCCCATTAAACCCTCCACTTAACTCAGCGTTTGACATGTAACTCACACCACCACCATTATTCCTCCATAGTTGATTTCGGTTAACAGAACCGTTCCCTTGGCGACTTGCATTATATCCAGGGCTAAACGGCCTTCCAAAGCCTCCATTGGATCTATTAACATAACTCTGATTGTGGTTTCCCTCCATAAAATCCAGATCAATCTCGAATCCGTGGCCAAACGGAGAGAAGCTGCCTTGGTTACTCACCGCTGGACTGTACCTGACTTCAGGTTTCACTCCGTGGGCTGAGGTTGGACTCAGGTTAAACCCTTGGGTGTAATCGTTGAGCGACAAACTCATCCTGCTACTTCCAAAGTTACTTAAGCTGATAATGTTCCGGTTTGGGCTGGGAGACGTTTCCTTAGGGACGGCCACTTTGACCTCAACCATCTTACCACCGAGTTCATGGAACTTCCTCTGCAGCACTTTGTCAACAGCCTCTTCTGAGTCGTATGTTACAAAGCCAAAGCCTCTGGGGCGCTGAGTTTTGTGGTCATACATCACCACAAGATCAATGATTGTCCCAAACTGAGCAAAGTACTTCTTGAACTCTGGCTCCGTCACTGATGATGCCAATCCTCCCACAAATATCTTTTTGGAGTGTGCTGGACCAGGGGAGCCCTGGAGGCTACTGTTACTTTTGTTCAGTGATATGTGATCATCTCTTGGAACTGCCTTCTTCGCCTCCACCTGTCACACATACCACCAAGATTTACACATACATAATCATGAACTGGCAGAAATGTAGAATCACCACATTCAGAGTTAGTCAAAGACCAATAAGAAGAAACTATTGACATCTATGATGGATGGAAACTTCAAACTAGCTGCTGAAAGTGTCAAAAGAGATAAAGCACCATACAATACTCTAAAACAAACAACATTGAGCAGCACGTGTACATATATATACTTTTCAGACAGAGAAGCTCTTTTCTCTTCATTACACTGAAACCAAAATGAATTCACATGGCATTAATGATGTTCTAAGGAACTGTAGGGAGCTTGTGAAAACTTACAGATTTACCATCAATCATGTGTTTCTGGAGAAGGACACTCTCAGCGACACTGGAGTCTTTAAAGACGATAAAACCAAAGCCACGGGCACGACCAGTGAGACGGTCCTTGATGACAAGAGCCTCTAAAACCTCACCAAAGGTCTGAAAATACTGGAGGAGACGATCTTCAGTGGTTTCCCAAGAGATCCCACCAATAAACAGCTTACATGAACAATCCAACTCCATCCTGTAAATGACACAAAACCCAAGAAAACTCAAATCTAACTAATATCTACTCTGAAGCAAAAACAGTTATGAAAGAAGAAGAAGAAACCTTGTTGGAAGCCAAAAAGAGCAGGACTTGGTTGTGATCAGATTCAGGAAACCGATCGACCCAGGAGCTGTGAATCCTGCCTCGGATCAGAAGCGAAACGTAAAGGAAGTTATAGAAGAGAGAATCTATAGCAGAGTAAGAAAGATAAATGGAGAATGATATCTAATATGAATGAGAGAGAGACAGAAGCCCTCTTTGCCCTTTACCTCAAAATCTTTTTCTTTTTAAATGGGCCAAATCAGAAAATACTAAATATATTATTTTTAAAAACAAAAGAGATGGATGGAGTTCGTGTGTGTAGCAGAGAAGTGAGGGAGTAGACAGACAATGTTTTTTTCTTTTCTATAAGAAGGCAGGCAGCCTAGCAGGCACGAATATTGTTTGGCTATCCTTGCTTCTTATTTTGAAGAGACCATGGTATTTTCGTCATTTCTCTCTGTAATAGTAATAATTAATAACGCAATTTTCTGTTTTTATTCTATTAAATTACATACTTAATTTTATCAGCGTGTTTTATTGGGAAACAAAATATACTGTTTCCAGTTTTCTAAAAAGAACTGAGTTAAATCAGCTATGATTTACTTTTCACATTTAAAAAATTAATTTAAAATGCAGATTCATTGTCGATATAAAAACTAACGTGTTGTCAAAAAAAAAAAAAAAAACTAACGTATATTTCAATTATGGAATATCATTTTCATATATTTATATATATATATATATATATAAAGTAACATACTCTTAAAGATAATTTAGCATCAATATATTTGATTGGACTTGAAAGTAAACTAAATATTCAGTACCAAATTTCTAATAAAAAGACTGAAACAGCATTTAATTTACACAAATAAGGAGCAACAATTTATTTTCCTAGACAAATAAAAGGACATGGTTTCACTATGAACATCAAAAGTCGAAAATGAGCAAAAATAAATTCTGAAAAAAAAACTAATGGATGAAATACTGATCCTAAAATTTGGAATTAGCGAAACGAAAACTTCAAAAAGCCTGGGCAACCAAAGTGGAATGCAACATGGGATTGGTTGATAATGACAAGATTTACATCCAACAGTTTTTAATTTTATATATTTGCTGACAACTAAAACTTTTGTAATAATTTAATACTAAGTGGAATATGTGCGAAAGACAGAAGGGTGCATGAACATAATAAATATTACACTTAAATTGTTGTTTTATATATAGTTCCGTATTCCTTGCAATTACTAAACTCTTCTCCCCTTTCTTCTATTTTTTGCAATTTCTAAGAAAAAAAGTCTTCACGCATTTGATTAAGAACTCAAATACACACATATATAAGAAATTATATGAATACGTACATATACCAACTCAATTATGATATTATAATAAATGCATGCCAATTATAATATATCAGTGTCCAGTGAAACGTCAAAGATGTTGAAAATAAATGAAATTTAATCATAACCAGAAAAATTGTTGACAAACCAAAATTCAATAAATCACACACACACAAATAAGTTGAATCTTTTGACCCATGATTGGGCCCAATAGAGATGAAAAGTCCATATCAAAAAGAATCGAATAAAATATGTAATGAAAGGATTGCAAATTCTCTCTGCTTCTGCTTCTTCTTCCTACATGACGTAAAGCTGTCAAGGAGCTGAGAGGCAAAGGCAAGACGGATATCAGAAGAGAGCAAAGAATCGTATAGGAGTGGAAGAATGTTTTAATTATGGCTAAGCAAAAGTGCATCACATTTTTCGTTCCACTTGATATGTGTTCTGTGTCATACTCTAGTATGGTTTTTGGCCGACCGTGTGCATGATCCAAGATTGAGTTGAACAAGTTAAAAAGGTGTTTTGTAAAAAAATTCATTTAAAATAAATTAAATGGTATTAGTAGAGAGAGCCGATTTGTTTCCTTTACACCCCTTCTTTTTTTCTTTCTCATGTGATGTATTTATTGATGACCTCATGATCAAATCATCATTAGTACTGGTTTTTGTACCATATAGAAATGAGGGATGATAATTAAATATATGGAGTATTATATAGATATCATCAAAGACACTACACAAACATTACTTTTACAAGTTTGACTGTAAATTTTTTTTTTTTTAAATGAGCACTATTAACCGATATGAGTCATTTGTTCTACTAACAATGTGTAGAATATCTAACTTAATTAACAACTTCTCCACTACGAGTACAAGTTTGAACAAGATGAGTTATTAATAAAGAGTAAATGGTGTTGGTAATAAAGAAAAGAAAGGGGAAAAGAAAGAAAAGCAAAGAGGGTAACGGTGTGTGTGGTGGGGCTCCATGATAACTACGTCTCCTGTTCTTACGTAAAGCCTTTCTTTCTGTGGGCTAATGGCATCTCTAGAACGAAAAGGGAGCAGGCAATTCGAATTTTCCATTGCATCATACCCTATTAGTTCTTTTTAAAACGCAAGAAATAAAACAAAAGGTTTTAAAAAGATTTGTTTCGATATTTATAGTCTGTTTCCCCACCTTTTTGTGACCAAGACACCAATCTGTGGGTATACTGATTTCCATGCAACTCACACAGATTTGTATCCATATCTGTTTACAATATTAAACTTTACAAAATAATAAAATCATATTAACAAAAAAAAAAAGATATGTGTTTGCACAAAAAGAAAAAGATATGTGTCAGAGAGAGTGAGAGGAGATTGGGATGTTCCTGGAAAGCCCTTTGATTCCTTGGCTTTTGTCTCCTACGTATCGCGTGTGATGTGACGCAAACGCGTTCTTTATTGCCCTTCACATTCGTCTCTTTTTACTCTTCTGCCATCATACCCCTCCGTACAATGTACAAAAGCTCTTTGAGTTAAAAAGTATATTTTAGGAATTTTCTTTAAAATTGCGGTAAATTATTTAAAGAGGTGTAACAAAAGTCTGTCAGTTGAAATCTAGTACGTGAGAGAGACAACCATGAATTCTACAAGACGAGTTGGGTAAAAAGGCCACAGCGAATCTCAATAAGAGTGGTGAAAAGAATCAATGTATTTGTTGTTCTACACACTTTATTCAATATGTCAACAATAGACCTAGTTTTGATGCACATTATATTTTGTTTCAATATTTTGCTTGCATTACCGGTTACTCTTCATTCGTGTATTCTATTCTCTTCTTTTTGGGTTTAAATATCTTTCTGAAGATTCCAAAACACTTTTCTTTATAGGCAATTTCTCTTATTCATACATCTAATGTTTCGATCGTTTATTGTCAATAAGTCTTTCATGCCCGTTTTTCGGCATGTGAGTTTCGCCCTGTGTAACAAGTAAAAATTAAATTTTGGACATTCAAAAGATTTATCTATTTATTATACAATTAGTACATGATTTTCTTATTATGCTTTTATTTTTTAATAAATCACATATATTTTTATTGTTTAGTTCAATCACGTTTAACTATAATTTTAGACATAAATAATCAAAAATAAATATATTTAAAGAAACATATATAATCAGATTTATTCTAAATTTTGTATGTACACTGCAAAACAAAGATGTTACAATATGTTTTGAAAATTTCCAAACTGATTCTTTCTTATGATCATCTCTTCCACTCAAATAACAACAAATATCTAGAGTCGCAAGTTCTAGAGAAAACGTTACAACAACTATTTAAATGAATCTTGTTTCCGGCATAAAAATGTAAGGTCAGCTCCAATGATGAGTGTTCATGAAGTTCTACCTAATTAAAAAAATTTCAAAAAAACGAAAAGTGTGTCATAAAAGTTTTTTGCTGTGCAACTTTAGACAACCGGTTTAAAACCTCTGAATACAACTATCCATTTTCAATTGAATAAAATTTTGTACAAAAAAACTAAATAATTATCAAAATATTAATATTTTTATTACTAACAACCTAAATTGGATATTTACACCAATGGAGTTGTTCTAATACATATCATGGTCTAAAACCTCCGAATACAACTGTCATTTTTCAATTGAATAAAATTTTATACAAAAAACTTAATAATTATCAAAGTATTAATATTTTTATTACTAATATTCTAAATTGGATATTTCCACCAATAGAGTTGCGAGTTATTTACATCCAAAGGCACATTTTGAGTTTTTATCACACTGTAGGAAACTTTCAACTCCTAAGACATTTTTTCTTAACTTATTCTTTCTTTTTCTAATTAAAGCATAACTAAAGAAACAATTAGTAGGACCCATCATTTATCTCATCTATTTTATCATTATTTGGTAAAATAATGGTTCACCTTTGCGATGAAAACAACGGTGAAAAGAACAACATCGACGGAAGCGGCGGCATTTTAGAAAAGAACAACGATAAAATCTCGTTCTCGTCGCAATTTCATCATGACCTTCACTAATTTCAGATCGACACAATCCTCCTCACCGTAGTCTCCACTGCAGTCTTCTTCTTCTCTGACGAACAACAAACGTCACTTTATATTTGTTGCTCATCAAGCAAATCTCCATCAAGATGTACTGAGCTCGATCTACCACCTTCATACTTTATCTAGAAACTCCACTCCTCGTCATCCTATGTTTATCTTTACCACATAGTTGCAACGTCGTCTCTTTTGAGGCGCCACCGGAGAACAGCCGGTCAAATCTCATATCTCTGTGGAGTTTTGTCCAACTTTAACATTTTTACATTTTAGATCCCTGAACATTTTTATTCTTCTTAATTTGGCACCAAAATCTTTAAACATACAAATTTCTCCTATAAATTTGCACGAAATAGCCAAATCTTATCAATTTCAAAGTTAAATATTTTAACAATGAATTTAAATCTTTAAGCTTTTGTTTTATGATTTCATGGAGTTTTCGAAGTTAACTATTTTAACAATGAATTTATGTACATTATATTCGTCTACATGTGTACATTGGATGACATGGATGTACACAATATTAGTGTACACATGTACATTTGAAAGGGAAAAAATTCATGTGTATGAATAAGGGCGAGTAAGCGTGTTGTCCACAGTATTAGTGTACACATGTACATATGAAAGAGAAAAATTCATGTGTAGGGTAAAGATAACTAAGTGTGGTTTAAGTGAATGAATAAGTTCTTATGTTTTTTTAATGAGACTTATTTTAGAGATGTGATATCATAAATGTTGATAGTACATTTTTTACATTCACCTATAATATGCATGTACATGTGTACTCTCATTGTTATTTACAAAATGTTACTGGTGTACACACATGTACACAAGTATATATTTTTGGTGTATACATGTTAATTTTGACTTTTTGTTATTGGTGTATGCACATGTACATAATTTATACTAGGTTGACATGATTTATGCTTTATCTACCAACTTTATGCTCTATCTAAAAATTACCCTAGTAGCATGAAGTGCTCTAGGATGTAACAAAAACTTGAAAAGCGACCCATAATGTAAAATACTCCTATATTTGTGTACATGTGTATAAATTATGTACATGTGTGTACACCAATGACAAAAAGTAAAAATTAACATGAAGGATATCATAACTGTAGACATCGTATGTATTCAATATAAATGTGTACAACTAAGTTTGTGGACACTGAAACAAGAAAAAAACAAAATGATTATACGATTTCTATGTTTTTGTTACAAAATATATAAGTACATATGCATAAGCATGTACATGTATGTCTTTGTGAAATTAATCTTAACAAAAAACATTTAAATGAAAAGGATGAAAAATTGTGTACACATATTTTTTATTGTAATATTTTACCGAAAAAATTCCATGTACACCAATTTAAGTGTACATTGTATAACTAACTATATTCAATGTACATTGTATAACTAACTTTTGTTTTATGACTTCATGGAGTTTTCAAAGTTAACTATTTTAACAATGAATTTATGTACATAATGTTAGTGTACACATGTTCGTGTACACATGTTCGTTACAAGAGTACACTGGATGACTACGTTGATGTGGAAAAAATGTTTATGTACGTATATACATGTTAAACAGATATATTTTTCTTTGTAAATATAAGGACAAGGAAGCAATGTTTATGTGAATAAAAAAGGTTCTCGTTGTTGTGAATGAAGCTAATTTTAGATCTTGATAGCATTTGTGTTATATTTCTTACTTTTTATTTATGGCATACAATAATAGATGTATACATGTACATTATTTGGTGTACACATGTACAATGTTATATATTCTTGGTATACATATATACTTGAATCATTTTTCACTAATGATTTCAAGCCTATAAACTCAACAAAACCATTTGTGGTGTACGTTATACCATGTACATAAATAAATTATTATCCACGTGTGAATTGTTCATATGTACATTGATTAACTCGTACAATAATATACAAATATCAGATAGTTTTATTTTTATGTACATAAACATTAGACATGTAGGCTTTCCAATCTAGAGCCGTACTAATTTACAAAAAGTATGTACACCGATTTGTTTGTATATTACTCAAGTTCGGATAATGATTTTAATATGTTTTAGTTAGTTGCTCAAAAAAAAGAAAGACAAACCACATGTGTACATTTAGAAATTACTCAAGTTATTACATAGGAAAGAAAAATTTTGGTACTTCATTTGGACCATTTATACTAATCATTCATAATAACTGTCTCCAAAATCATTGAATTTCTTTTGAAAATTGGGGTTTTCTTGAATGATATTTTCAAATAAAACATCTGAGGTATAAACGAAAATAAAACAAAATAGCATGAATCAATAATTCAATCTGAATATTTGTGGTGGTTTGGATTGCATAATTAAAAGTTTTGGGACAAATTTGTGAATAAATTTAAAGAAAAAATAAATTTAAAACAAATGAGAGAATAAAAAAGAGTTGGAGGATCATATGTGCAAATAATCAAAAGTCCACCATTGTTGAACTGGTGAAGCTTTTTCTTCAATTTGTGACTAACGCAACGACGAGGAGGCGGTCATAACTCTAGGTATGAGCTTCTCAACCACATCAATAGAGTTATGTTAAAAAAGAGCTCGTGGTTTGAGGTTGTCGACTATGGAACTCTCGTTCAAGAAAAAGTGGTGGTTATTCAGAAACGAAGACAAAGATGATTAAAGTTATAAATTTCATAGGTGGATGAGGAATCTTCTAAGGTACAAATCAAAAGAATTCTTCTGCAAATAAAACATTTGAGGTATAAAAAAATAAGATATGAACTCAAGAAAAAAAGAAAGTGAAATTTTTCTTTTTAGACAGATATATGATTTGTCAAGGGGATGGAGAAGCAATCTGAGCGGCCAGTTGGTTACAAAGAAACTAAAGTTTTTGGTCAAAAGGAAATAGTTACAAATAAGTGTGTTAGTAGTAATAAGTGTTTTTTTATGTTAATAAAAACATAAAACTGCCCTTAGTGTAATTCTAGAGTTGCTCTAAGAAATATCAGGGTTTGGAATTTCTCAAAAAATATATCATTTATTTATCATCAACAATTATTTGTTTGAAGTACATAAACTGTTGCACTATGCAAAACTGATGTGACAACTTGAGACATACTATAAAAAAATGACCAACTAGTCTTTTTTACAACAACCAAGTAGTCTTCAACACAAATTTCAACGGATCAATTAAGAAACCAATTTATTTTTAATCTATGTCTTGCTAAATACAAATAAAAAAACATACTAAATAAATTTAAAGTATGACTTGGGTACCTTATATTATTTTTTGTGTACATATTTTTTCATATGTCACATTTGCATATACATAAGTTTGATATAATTTCATTTTCATCAACAATATATACAACTAGCGTGTTTGTTTGCGGCTCTATGTTATTTTATGATCTCAAAGTATATAATTCTAGCTAAAATATTAGTGTAGATTTGACATTCTTATAAAATGTAGGATATTCTTCTTTATAAGCTAAGAAAACTTAGCGACTATGAACTTAAGCCTTTGAATAAATATTCAAATGGTTAAAACGTAACTAAAATAGCTTTCATAACATCTTAACCTAAAATAGGTATCATTTTATTTTAAATAATATATGTTAATTAAATAGAGAAAACATCCATTAAAACCCGAACTTTTAAATTAAATTAAAAAAAAAACTTAACTCGTATTTGAGCAAAAAAATTTATAGTTTTTATGCATTTGTTAAGTATGGACCGTCTTAACTCTCATATTTTGTTGACTCAGTCATTTAAGAAATCTGAATAATCAGCTTTTAAACTCGATTATAAAAATAGATGTATCTTAACCCTCTCAATGATGTCATTTTAGAAAATCAGTTAAATAACGTTGTTTTGATACTTTAAACATTTAAATCATTTTTTTTTGCGAAACGAGAGACCCAAATTGAATTTATCTTCTTCAGTTAAAAATAAGAAAGATAAAGTCAACTTGAAATTCTGGTTTTGTGAATAAGATATTTTAAGTGTTTAGAAAAGCAAAATGATATTGATTGATTAATGTTTAATTATTTTTTAAAAGAACGTTGTTTGAAAAATTAATAAAAGTATTTTTTAATCGAGTTTAGCAATTGACTATTTCGATTTTTAAATGACAGATTCAACAAGATATGAGAGTTAAAACGATTAATATTTGAAAATTGATGATTTTTTTTGTTGCTAAAACATGAGTTGGAGTTTTTTCGAATTTAATTTGAAAGTTATGGTTTTAATGACCGTTTTCTCCTAATTAATATGATCAGCTTCTATATTTTTGGCTATTTTCTTAATTAATCATGAAACATATTACAAAACAATAAATTTACAATGGTACAAGTGAGAAAGAGTATATCAGTAAAGTAATAAGGGAATAAAGAAACAGTGGTTATTGCTACTACTGCCGTCCAAAAGTGAAATGTCAGAGTGGCATTCCTAGTAAATAAAAGGAATAAAATGAGCATTTGATAGGGTCCAAGAAGGTCATGACATTTTGCACTTTTTATATATCCTCTTCTTCCTCATCAAGCCTTTGATTCTTGAGTATGCAATCAAACTTTCTTCTTCTCTCTGTCCCCTTCCAACAATCTCCACACCAATCCCTTCAGCTTCTATCCTAAAGGTAAGCTTTCCTGATCATCTATGCACTACTCCCTTTCTCTCTTTTATACTTTTTTTAATGTCAAATTCTTTATGTATATTTCAAAATTGCTCCTCTTTCTTCCATAAATGAAATTGTGTTCTTCTTATCTAATTTAACTCTGTTTGAAGCCTTTGATCATGTTTTTTTTTGTATCCCAGCTTCTCTGTGCCTTTTTTTGTTGGGTTTGAAGGATACCCAAGTAGCCAAAATCAATTTCTGTTTGTCTTGTCTTGTGTTGATTCTAAATTTCAAAACTTTCTGGTGATGAATGCATAAAAATCATGACTTTGAGCCTAAAATTTAATATTTTCAATCCAATAGGTTAACCCCTGATTTAGGGTTTGACTCGTAACCTTTAAACAGATTTGGTTTCTGTGGAGAGAGAGAGAGAGATAGAGTGAAAAGTTTCTATCTCTGGTAATAGGGGCAGTACAAAAAAACTATCTCTTTATTCCTGAAAGATGTTAGATCTGTCTTTTTTTCTTTCTAATGACCGCTTTGTTTGATTGATTGTAAGGAGCACACTTTGCAAATGGGATTTGAGTTTACAAGAACTAGAGTTTCTTTTTTCTTCTACCACAAATCATATTGTCTGTATTTAAGTTTCTTTTACTCTGCTGTAGCCTCACTTGTCCTTCTCTTCCTTTCCATGGAGACAGGTCTGTTCAGTCAAGAAAGACATTAATATAAAGACTCGTTTGCTGAGCTTTTTTTCCAATGCAAACATCTCAGAAACATCAGAGTGCAGCTGGACTTCACATGCTGTATCCCCAAGTACACTGCTCATCTCAGTTTCAAATGATAGACAACAACAACAACGGCTTCTCTAATACTCCATCCAAAGAAAGCTTCTTCACCCTCGAATCATCCACTGCTTCTGGTACTCTTCCTTCCTATGACTCCCCTTCTGTGAGCATCACATCTGGCAGGAGCCCGTTTTCTCCTCAAGGCTCTAACTCATGCATCTCTGATCCACATCCTTCCCCTGAAAACGTGTATGGATCTCCCTTGAGCGCCGCGTCTTCCTATGTCTATGACGAAGCCGGTGTCAAGAGTAAGATTCGTGAGCTTGAGGACTCGCTGCTTAGTGGTGACACCAAAGTTGAAGAATACTCAGGCTTCAGCCCAGCTGCTGGGAAGTCATGGAACTGGGACGAGCTCTTGGCTTTGACTCCACAGCTGGACTTGAAAGAAGTGCTAATGGAGGGAGCCAGGGCTGTTGCTGACGGGGATTTCGCTACAGCGTGTGGTTTCATTGACGTCTTGGAACAGATGGTGTCGGTCTCAGGCACTCCGGTCCAACGCCTAGGTGCTTACATGGCTGAAGGGCTTAGAGCGAGGCTTGAAGGGTCTGGTGGGAATATATACAGAGCCTTGAAGTGCAATGAACCAACGGGAAGGGAACTGATGTCTTACATGGGAGTTCTCTATGAGATTTGCCCTTACTGGAAGTTCGCCTACACAGCTGCAAACGCTGCTATCTTGGAAGCAACGGCTGGTGAGAACAGAATCCACGTGATTGATTTCCAAATCGCGCAAGGATCACAGTACATGTTTCTTATTCATGAGCTTGCTAAACGTCCTGGTGGGCCACCGTTGCTGCGTGTTACCGGCGTGGACGATACACAGTCTAGATATGCACGTGGTGGAGGACTCGGTTTGGTGGGTGAGAAGCTCGCAGATATGGCGCGGTCATGCGGTGTGCCGTTTGAGTTTCACGATGCGGTCATGTCAGGGTGCAAGGTCCACAGGGAACACTTAGGTGTGGAGCCTGGCTTTGCTGTCGTTGTGAACTTCCCGTACGTGTTGCACCACATGCCTGATGAGAGCGTGAGCGTTGAGAATCATAGAGACAGGCTGCTCCATCTTATCAAGAGCCTCGGACCGAAGCTGGTGACGCTGGTGGAGCAAGAATCCAACACGAACACGTCGCCTTTCCTGTCTAGGTTCATGGAGACGCTTGATTACTACACGGCGATGTTTGAGTCGATAGATGCAGCGAGGCCGAGGGATGATAAGCAGAGGATCAGCGCGGAGCAGCACTGTGTGGCGAGGGATATAGTGAACATGATAGCGTGCGAGGAGAGGGAGAGAGTTGAGAGACACGAGGTGCTTGGGAAGTGGAGGGTGAGAATGATGATGGCCGGGTTCATGGGATGGCCTGTTAGCACGTCAGCAGCGTTTGCAGCGAGTGAGATGCTTAAAGGTTACGACAAGAACTACAAACTAGGAGGGAGTGAAGGAGCGCTGTATCTATTTTGGAAGAGGAGACCCATGGCTACATGTTCCGCTTGGAAACCAAACCAAAATCACATTGTGAACTGAGAGTGGATGAAAAAGAAAGGAGCACACATGGCAACACTTGTAGATTTTTTAGGATGTGCAATGATGTTTTTAAGTAACTTTTATATAAGTCAACTAGTTATATACTAAATATTTGTATACAAAGCAAACCTGGTGGTGGTTGTTTTTTTTCTCCTGTAAATTTGCTCTTGTTGTGGGGTTGGTAATACTAATGAGATATAACCATTGCATTAATTAGGTCAATTGCTCCATTATCTTCTGTAATAACTTGTATGAGTCAACTGGTTGTGAAGTAAAAAATATTTGGGCCAAGTCTACATGTCAGAGACTGTGGTTCCGTCTGATAACCCACAAGACTTGGTAGCAAAGTAGGGAATAGTCCCACTTGATTAGGTAAATCTTGTTTTGTATTATGCAAAGAGAGACATTGAGTAACTTCCACAAACACAAGGAAACTTTGGTATTATTCTGAATGTCTTTATATTGTTTTTTTTTGGTATCTATCAAGTATCAATATTAGTTTTCTGTATCCATTTTAAGAAAATGATATTATTTCTCCTTACTTTAAAGGTTTCTTATTTCAGGATTTGATGTTCTAAAGATAGAAGAATGGATAAAGGAAGGGCTTAGAGTTGACGAAAAGACATGAGAGCGCAAAACATGGCGAGCCTCTGTTTCAATATTTGGATTCCAGACGAAAGATCCACAGGATCAACATCTCTCTCTCTATCTGCTTCATTACGTAAAACAAGAAAAAAAAAAAACAATATGGCGAAGATGAGAGCGGATGCTCCGGTGGAGACTCCTCCTCGGATATGTAAGGTGGTGGGAGAGATTGACACTCGTCCTCCCTTCCAGTCCGTTAGAGACGCCGTTAGTTTATTCCGTCAAGTTAGCTTCTCAAAGAAGCAACAACAGCGTCTCTCATCATCCTCATCTCAGGTACATTCATTCATTCCCACTCTCTGCATTTCTCTCTGATAATAGCCTCCCTTTCTTCTTCAAGGATGTGTCGGAAAAAGAGACGCAGCTTCGGTTAGCAGAACAAGAAATGATAAGAGTCCAGCTCCGTCTTGATACCTCTGTCAAATCCAAAGCAAAAGCTGTCTCTGATCTCGACTCTGCTCAACGAAATGCCTCTGATCTGAGAGCTAAACTAGAAGCCACAAAACAATCCAAAAAAGCCGCCATCCTAACCAAACACACCATGAACCAACGGTTAGAACAACTCCAATCCCAAAACCAAGAAGCAGAGAGTTACATTTTAGCCACCGCAGAGCTACTCATGGCGAAGCAAAAGCTCGCGGAGATAGAACAAGCGTTCAGCATTGCCGTCGAAGAGAGGCTAGCAGAGCTTCAAAGAGCAGAGGAAGCAGAGTGTTCATCAAGAGTAAACTCCCAAAAGATCAAAGACATGACAAACGAGATAGCGGAGATGCGTGACGCTGCTGAGAGGTTGAAGTTTGAAGCTGATAGCAAAAAAGAGGAAGAGGAAAAGATCAAAGAGGAGAGAGTGGACATGGGAGAAACTTACGGGGATATGAAACGAGAGGCTGAGGAGAGGCTGAAGGATCTGAGACGAGGTTGTGACCCGGAACTCAGCAAAGTTATTGATCAGCTGGCGGAGATATCTGCGGAAAACGAGCTTTTACTTGAGGAGATTAAACTTGCTAGGGAGCTAAACGAGGCTAAGAACGCGATGCAAGAGATTTTTGATGAAGAAAGATCATACAGAAGCCTGGTGGGGTCTCTCACCGTCGAGTTAGATGGTGTGCAGAGTGAGAACAGAGATCTGAAGGAGAGAGAAGAAGATGAAGAACTAGAATGGGTTGAAGCGAGTCGAAAGGTCGATGAGATCATGCGTGAAGCAGAGAGAACAAGGAAAGAAGCGGAAGAGATGAGGATGCAGGTGGATGAACTCAGGAGAGAAACATCAGGAAGGCGTACAGTGATGGGTGAAGCAGTGAAGCAGCTAGAGATAGTTGGAAGAGCCGTGGCGAAAGCGAAAGCCGCCGAGAAGAGAGCTGTGGAAGACATGAGAGTAATTACTGATAAGAAGGAGAGTTTGACACATGATGAGCCTGATAAGAAGATTAGAATATCACTGAAAGAGTACGAGGAGTTGAGAGGGAAGCATGAAGAGTCAGAGAGGATGGTTCAGTACAAGGCTGAAACGGTTGCTGCTCAGCTTGAAGAGATAAAGGAGAGCAGAGTAGAAGGAGAGGTAATGTTGGAGGAGAAGATGAGAGAGATGGAAGAGGTAGAGGAGGCTATTGATGCTGCTTTGAGAGACGCGGAGATTGCAGAGGAAGCACACTGCATCGTCGATGCTGAACTTAGAAAATGGAAACCAGAAGAGTTGTAGCAGATGTAATTGATGTTTAGGTGATTAGAGTACTAGAATATGTTTTGTTTTTTTTTTTCATAAACTGATAAGTACTCAGAGTTGTTCATAAGTGCATTAACACTGGAACAAAGACTTGAAATATAGATTTTCAAAGACATCTCTGTTTTCTTCATGTTAAGATGTGAAATTGGAGTATCTCTGAAAAAACGGCTACTTTCTCTCTCCTAAAAATGCGATTGAACAGGGGATTAGGTCTTCTCACCTAACTCCGCCGTCGGTGGGCACCACGCTCTCCGGCGAGAATTCTCTGCCCCCCCCCCCCTCGGTCTTCTATTCTCCGGTCTGATGTCGCGATGCTCATCAAGAAAAAGAAACCGCGTCCGCCTTCTGCTCTGTCTTTTAAGGTCTACGGCCTAGCTCGGTCTGCCAGGAAGATTGCGTTGGCTAAGAAGAACAAGTCTCTCTCTCTCGTCGGATCTGATCTCGGCGTAGTTGCATCTGGAGTTTCGATTTCAGTGACAAATTCTACTTCTATGACTACTCTTCCTTCTCCCAGATCTGGCTCTGTTGAGATCTCTGGGTATCTTGTTGGTAATGTGACGACGGCGAGTGTATTCTCTCCGTCAACCGTGTTACTTCCTACTCCGCCTTTGGTGGAAGCTTCACTTCCTCCGTTGGTGGAGGCTTCAAAGTCCGGCTGTGGCTCTGCATCTTGTAATCAACGATTCCAAATTGACGCAAGATGTAGGCACTCACGCTAAAAATTACGCTGCTTTACTTAAGAGTTCTACTCAGTTGCAGGAGATGGGAACTCCGACGGAACATATCTCTGGTGCGCCTTTTGTACTTATCCCAGATGAAAACATTGAGGCTGATAAACGAGAGTTCAAAGATTTCATTTACGCGCGCTTTCAAGGCGATTATCCCTCAATGGGAAAGATTATCGGCGTCGTTAATGCAGTTTGGGCAAGAACCGGCCCTCAGATCTTTGTTCACAACATTGGACAAGGTATGTATCTTCTCCGAGTCACAAACCAAAGAACTCGGGAGGTACTTCTGTCTCGTACTCGTTGGAATATTGGTGGACTACCAATGTTTGTGGCTCCCTGGTCTCCCGATTACTCACCTGATGAGCCCCCTCTCACTAGCGCGATTGTTCCAGTTGAGATGCGCAATGTTCCGTATTTGTTGTTTAACCAAGAAAGCTTGAGTCATATTGCGACGGCAGTGGGCAAACCTGAATCCCTTGCGCCTGAAACTGAACGCAAGGAAAATTTTGAGGTTGCAAAGTTGTATGTGAGGGTTGATCTTACAGCTCCTCTTCCGCATAAGATAATCTCGGGTTTCTCTAACGGCAAGGAGGTTCAAATCGATGTCTCCTATCCTTGGCTGCCTATTAAATGTGATCTGTGCAAAAAGTTTGGTCATAAGAAGGAGAAGTGTAGTGCGGGTGTCGTTGAGAGATCTTTTGAGCAATCAAATGGTAGGAAAGCTTCCCCTGAAACTTCAAGAAGGAGATCAAAATCTCGCTCGGGCCGTTTCCCAGATAAGAAAGTAAAAAAAAGTGGAGACTCGTTACATCCATGTGGTTCGTAAAACAGATGGTACTGAAACTGAGACATCAAATACGCTGCAGGAAGGTCTTCACTTGGAAGAGGGTGAGATTTCCTGGGAATCTAAAGGTAATGCTGATTTAAGCATAAAAACTGCTGAGGATTCAAAGGCAAGTCAGAATGGTGAAGCTGAGGAGAGTCCATAGGCTAGTCAGAACGGTGAAGCTGAAGGTGATGGTGCATCAGAGCCTGCTGCGTCATTAGTGAACACACTTACGTCCACTGTTGAATTATCTCCACAGTCGGTCAGCCTAATTGATGATGAAGTTCTGATCACAGTTGATACAAGCTCCAACTCTCCTCAAATTGTTGAAGGAGAGCATTTTCCTGTGAAGGATGCTAACATTTTTGATGATGCGGGACCAGAGTACTGCAGAGACATCGCCTACAAACATTGGTGCAGATCTTACAAAAAATTTACAGCCAGCAGAGGAGAAGGTGCTGGAGCGTGACAATCCATATTTCCTGGTTAGTAACAGGAAGAGTGGCCGCAAGGTCACGAAACGCCATTAAAATTATTAGATATGTTTTTTGCGTGGAATGTACGTGGACTAAACAATGAAAGACGCCACACCATGACCAAAGATTGGATTAATATCCATAGGCCTTTTTTGGAGACTCATATCATGGAAAACAATAAAGAGAGAATTTTAGGAGGTATTCCAAGGGGTTGGAAGTTTTTTGGAAATTTTGAGGATGATGATCCAGGACGAATTGTTGTTGTCTGGATCCGAGGGTCACTATGTTTATCTACAATACAACGTCTCAATCAGTTACTTGTGGGGTAACAATTCTATCTGAAAATATCACGCTCATGGTCACTTTCGTCTACGGTTTCAATTTAGTTGAGGAGCGAAGAAGTCTTTGGGCAACTTTAGCTGATTTACAAGATCTCTCTCCGGTGTCCGAGTATCCTTGGTCTGTCATAGGTGACTTCAATCAGATGTTGTGGACCACTCATCACTCAAATCATTTTGCTTCCCGAGTTGATGAATCTGGGATGGATGATGCTAATCTCGGTTTACAAGATGCTCAGTTGTTTGAAGTGCAAGCAAAAGATCTTCCCTACACTTGGAGGAATTGTCAGGATGATAACCCTATCTCCACTAAGATCGATCATGCTTTCATCAATCAAGCTTGGTCATCTTCATACCCGGACTCCTTTGCAGAATACTTAGATCCGTCGCAGTCTGATCATGCTCCTTGCCTCTTTTGGATGCCTTCTATCACACGACAGGTTGTAAAACTCTTTAAATTCTTTCATCATGTCATAGATCATCCAGAATATGCTGAGACGGTAAGTGAAGCTTGGAACTGTGGGTTGATAACGGGTACACATCAGTTCAAGTTGGTAAGATCTCTTAAAGGGTTAAAACGGCCGCTACGCAATCTCAACAAAAGACATTTCAGTGGTATAACGCAGAGAGTCAAGGCTCAGAAGGTGAAAGTGGATGCTCTTCAAAGAATTTTGCTAACTACGCCTGTTGGGTCTACAGCTCGTGAGGAGCATTCAGAGAGAGATAAACTGAACTTTCTGCTTAGGGCTGAGGAGAAATATTTTAAACAGAGATCTCATGTTCGATGGGCCGACGTTGGAGATCGTAACACGATCTTCTATCATCAGACAGTTTCGCAGCATGCTTCAAGGAATCATATTCATTTTCTAAAGGATAGTGATGATCATATGTTATTCTCGTTGGATGATATAAAGAATCATGCTGCAGAGTATTTCTAGGGGATTCTTGGTACCACAAACCTTCCTTATTCATCAGCTACTACTGAGGATTTGAGGAATTTGCTCCCCTTTCGATGCTATGAGCTTCAGCAGAACTATCTTAAACGTGTTGTCACTTCAGCTGAGATTAAAGCTACTTTGTTTGCCATGCCGCTGAACAAGAGTCCAGGTCCAGACGGATACTCTGTTGAGTTTTTTAGGGCTTCATGGGACATAGTGGGGGAGGACATAATCAGTGCTGTTCAAGAGTTTTTTAGAAATGGTAAACTGCTAAAGGACATGAACACAACAGCAATTGCTTTGATCCCAAAAAAACCGGAAGCATGCTCATTAGGTGACTATCGACCGATCAGCTGTTGTAATATTGTCTACAAGCTCATCTCCAAAATAATCGCGAATCGTCTTAAACCTATACTCACTGAATGTGTAAGCCCCAATCAAGCCGCTTTTTTAAAAGGACGCAGCCTCAGAGAGAATGTTCTGTTAGCAACCGAGCTCATCAAGGACTATAATAACAGTTCGTGTCATAAAAGTGCAATGCTCAAAATTGATATTCGTAAGGCGTTTGACACTGTGTGTTGGGATTTTGTGGCAAAGGTATTGAAAGCTCAGCAGTTCCCGCCTTTGTTCATCACTTGGATTACTGAGTGCATCTCTTCTCCTAGATTCTCAGTTGCTATTAATGGCGAACTAGCAGGTTTTTTCGAGGGCAAGAAAGGTCTCTGTCAAGGTGACTCAATATCTCCTTACCTGTTAATTATGCTAATGGAAGTTCTCTCACGTTTGTTGGATAAAGCTGAGGCTGATGGAGCTTATAGGCTTCACCCTTTGTGCTCTGACCCAAAGATCACCCACCTACTGTTTGCGGATGACCTCTTGGTTTTCTCTGACGGATCTCGTACCTCTACTGCTGGTATTAAAGAAGTTATGAGCCATTTCAAAGACTGGTCAGGTCTTGACACAAATGTGACCAAATCTGAGATCTTCTATGGAAGTTACTCAGATATTCAAGCATCGGTTCTTAGTGACTTATCAGGGTTTAAGCGTGGCACTTTCCCAACAAGGTATCTAGGTTTGCCACTCAGCCCTAAGAAGATCTCTGGTGCTACTCTACAGCCTTTTCTTGATCGTATAACAGCTAAGTTACACTCTTGAACAGTTAAATCTTTGTCTTTCGCCGGTAAGGTTAAGATGATCTACTCGGTAATATATGGCATGGTTAATTTTTGGAGCTCAGTTTTTGTGTTACCGAAATGGTTCTATGCTAAAGTGGATTCATTATGCTCTGGTTTTCTTTGGAAGAATAGCACCACATCTGCGGCAGGGGCCAGAGTTTCATGGGCAAACATTTGTACACCGAAATCTGAGGGGGGGTCTTGGTATTAGAAAATTGGAGAATTTTGAGATGGTCTTCAGATTAAAGCGAGTCTAGTTGTTCTTCACTGCGTCGGGGTCTCTTGGGTTCCTTGGCTGAGTAAAAACAGGTTCGGTGGTCGGAGTTTCTGGCTGATTAATGATTCTCCGAGGTTCTCACAGACGGTTAGAAGTATGCTTCAGCTGAAACATCAACTTCAGGACCTACTTCGCTGCAGCATCGGGGATGGTAATACAGCTCTGTTTTGGCATGATATTTGGACTGAGTTGGGTCCTCTGTATCACATGTTTGGTTC